GACTGAAAGACCTGAACCTGTTCAGCCTCAGCAAGAGGAGGCTGAGGGGGTACCTGGTGGCTGCCTACAAGCTCATCAAGGGGGATCAACAGCAAATAGGCAGAGCTCTTTTCTCCCCAGCACCACCTGGGGTGACAAGGAACAACGGTCATAAGCTGATGGAGAATAAGTTTAGGTTGGAGATCAGAAGGCAATATTTTACAGTTAGGGTGGCCAAAATCTGGAACCAACTTCCCAGGGAAGTCGTCCTTGCCCCTACCTTGGGCATATTCAAGAGGAGGTTGGACGATCACCTGTCTGGGGTCTTGTGAACCCAGTATTCATTCCTGCCTGTGGCAGGGGGTCAGGCTAGATGATCTGTTCAGGTCCCTTCTGACCCTAGCTACTGTGAAACTATGAAACTATGAGACCGTATGACGAAGGAGGGAGAGAGATTGAAAAGCTCCGTATCATCAACAGATGCATTCGCTGCACACCCCACCTTGCCTCAGAGTGGTAGCCTGGGACTGGGGTCTGGCAACACTCCCATCCCTTGAGTAGCCAGTGGGGAAAAGCTTGTGACTGTGCAGAATGAGAGTCCTGCCGGGGCCTGGCCATGCCCCCCTCAGCTCATCTCAGCTCCCTCCAGAAGGTAAGAGAGGGCTGCTCTGGCTCCCCCCCAGCTTCTGGCCTCAGCCACTGCAGGCATGTGCCTGAATTTCCTCAGTCCAGAGACAATGTCTGTCCAGTTTCAAACCAGTTCAGCCTAGCCAGGTTAGACTAACCTGCAAAGATTGAATCCATTCAGGCTTAGGCTTTATGAATGTCTGTCCCTAGCCTAATAAGTCTGTACCAAACAAGAAACTGCACACTGCATTGCAGGCTGCTTTCCAGAGGGAGAAAGTAATAATTAAAGAACTTGCTATACCTGCACTCTTATTTCTTTGTCTAACAACTTCTTTTTTTAAATTTTCTCTTAGTGCTTTTGCCATTGGTGTCTATTATGTTTTGCGATTCTGTGCCAGTATGTCATCCACTCCATACAGTATCTTTAAAATGCACACCTCAGAAGTAACTGTTGTAGTTCCCCAAAATGTATTACAGTCTTTCAAAGAATATGTATGATCTGCACTCATTAGGAGAGTGTACTGTTCAAAAACATGCGACTGCTCCCTTCCTGTTGGTCCCATATTCTGTAGAGATTGTCTTTATGTTTTCAACCAGTTTGAAGTGTAAGAAACGTAACAGTC